GGGATGATGCAACAATGAATTCTACATACACAGCAAAACATCCAGTTAGAACTTTCTTCTCAGTAAAAGTTATTACATTATTAAAAAAAAGTTATAATTGCAACATCCCATTTGTAAAGACAAATAAATAACATGATGTCAAGTGAGCCCACAAATCCTACCTTCAATGTCTGATACACATTACATCAGATGATCAAACTCACCAAAGCACTAAACGACTATAAATGCATCCACAACCAAAATCTGGAAGCAGTTGCACCTGAACCTATTCAGTGAGTCCTGCAGGAAGGAGCACAAGATCAGACACAACAGCTGTTATGAAAGCCAGTTACAAACTTCCCTGCTACTCACTATGTAGACCTCCAGAGCAAAATCACTTGGGTAATGTATGGAAGGCACATTTTCCTAAATGGTACCACCTAACTTGGCCTTAGCACAAGAAAGGCACATACAGAACATACACGTTTTTCTGACCAATTGCTTTTGGACATCTAAACAGTATTGCAATGATTTCAAGCATGATTACAAGTTACGCAACACAGTGCAAATCACCTTCAAAACGCTCCATAACATTTCTTCCAAAACTGGGGCAAGCACATTTTTTCTTTGCTTTTGGAAGGATGGCAGAAGAGAGAGTGAGTGGATACTCATAGTAAAAGCATTACGAAAGAATTCAAGTTTTATTATCATGTGCATGAAAAAACAATTTTCGGTTTTAGAGCTAAATTGTACATTTTATCAAAAACAAGGGAGATGCTGACCTAAAATGTTAGCTGTTTGAGCTGCTGAGTACTTTCAGATGTTTGCTTATTCTTGATCCCAAATCCCTTGAATAAATGACTAGCTCTGGTTCAATGTGTAAACAAGATGAACAGAGTATACTATAAAAGAATCCAAACCAATAAAACTGGAAACTAGCTTGAAAATTAAAAAAGGTATTTATGAAAGAACCTTAAGTATTTCTCTTTTTAACCATGTCCCAAGTTAAATTCTCTGACAGTCTGACTAGCTAGTGTTACCATGAAGTAGCATTCTGACCCGATCTTGTCTTTTCAAATTTTATTTGTTCATAACACAAAAGCGCAAGAAGGGTCCCACTTGTTAGTTATATGCCTCGGTTTGCTAAGGTGGGCATTACTTCCGGTTCTGTTTTTCAGTGGTTTGTATATTGGGTCCAGTTCAGTGTATTTGTTGATGGCGTTCCAGTTGGAATGCCAGACCTCCAGGGATTCCCTGGCATGTCTCTGTTTGGCTCGTGCTATTATGGATGCATTGTCCCAGTTGAATTTGTGTCCTTCCTGGTCTGTGTGTATTGAAACCAAGAGACATGACCAATTCTCACTGGTCTCAACACACGCAGACAAAGGAGGACACAAATTCGACTGGGTCAACACATCCATAATAGCACAAGCCAAAGAGTGACATGCCAGGGAACGCCTGGAGGCCTGGCATTCCCAATCAGAACTCCATCAACGAATACATTGGTTTGTATATCGAGCCCAGTTCACTGAAAAACAGGACCGGAATAATGCTAGTCACCCCAGCAAACCAAGGCATATAAATAACAAGGGGAACAGAACACCAACACTTGCACAGACCATGTTACCTATCAGGGTAGTTGCAAGTAACATTCATGCCACACAAATGCCAGGCTATGACCAGCACCAATAAGACAGACTCTAATGGCCAACTCTTGACATTCAATGGTGTTGCCATTACTGAAATCCCCTATCACCATCCTTGATGCTACCATTGACCAGAAACTCAACTGGGCTCACCACATAAACACATGCCTTTATTCTGAGACTAAGCCTTGTGGTCCTAGGCTCTGCCATGAGGAGAATCATCCTCTCAACATTTACTCTGTCAAGGCCCTTAAGAATCTTAAATATTTCAATATGATCACTTCTCATCTAAATTCCAATGAGTAAAGTCTCAACCTGTTTGCCATTTGCTCATAAAATGACCCTCCACTTCAGGGATCATCCGAATGAACCTTCTCCGAACTGCCTCCAATGAAATAGTGCAGCTCCAACAACACTCAAGAAGCTTGATACCATCCAGGATGAAGCAACTAGCTTGATTGGCACCACATCCATAAAACATCCACTCCCTCCACCACCAACGCTCAGCAGTAGTGTGTACTATCCACAAGATGCACTGCAGAAATTCAAAGATCCACAGAAAACATCTTCCAAACCCACAACCATTTCCATCTAGAAGGACAAGGGCAGTGGATACATGGGAACACCAACTGCAAGTCCCCCTCCAAGCCACTCAGCGTTCTTTCTTGGAGATCACTGTTTCTTCACTGCCACTGGGTCAAAATCCTAGAATTCCGTCCCTAATGGCATTGTGGGTCAATCCACAGCAAGTGGATTGCAGCGATTCAAAAAGGCAGCTCTTCTAAGAAGCTGTACTTACTTAAAGGCAAATGGGATGGGCAATAAATGCTAGCCAGCCAGCAAGGTCCACATCCTACAAATGTAAAAAAAATCACAGACTTAAGTTACTGAACCAATTGATTCACTTAAGTTTAGAAGTCACATGACACCAGACAAAGTGCTCTGAAAGCTTGAGATTTCAAATAAACTTGTTAGTCTATAACCTGGTGCCATGTAACTTCTGACTTTGTCCACCGCAGTCCAACCCCGGCACCTCCACATCGTCACTGAAGTTTAGAATTAGACTGCAGACAGTAGTATTGATAGATCCCATTATTATTTCTCAAAGCTTATATTCAAAAAGGGGATGACCAAACCAAGTACAATCATAATATTTGCAACTGGAGTCTACAGAACTTCTCAAGCATCTATTGGAACTTTACAAAACTAAGTTACTTGCGTGAGTATTAGAAAGGAGACAACACTATTACAAAGTTCACTCAGTTCTTAGGATGCACTAATACCAATTGCATTCCAAAAAGAACAGATGGACATAACACCTGTAAAATGGTAAAACTGACTTCAGTAAAAGAAGGCAATTTCTGAAGCAAAGTCACAAAACTGCAACTACTCAAAGACTCATGAAATGATTGGAGTCCACTGAAGAAACATTTACATAAATATATTTTTAAGTTAATCAACAATGAAATGAATTGAAAATGTACATGGAGACTTTACAGAAAAGATTACATTTCAGAATATTCAGCTTTAACAATAAATTTGGACACCAGCTCGTGTAAGCCTGAAATTCATCAATTGGATAACAGTATTTAACAAAATAACTGAGGAAAACCATGAAAAATTTTTTTATGCAAATCCTACTCAAATGGTTTTGTAAGAGTCTGAAGAAGTACATTTCATACGCAATAAAAAGTGAAACAATCAGATTTTAAACAGATTTGTAATTAACATCACAATTATGGTTGTATGGATAGTTAAGACTTTACATTACAAGAACAGCTTCTTTACTGCTGTTATCAGACTGATGGATGGACTCTAACTTCAAATATTGTCGATCTTGTTTCACACACCTTCTGTGCAGTGTAATCTGTATGCTTCGCTTTGTCTAAGCGCCCCATGATCTGTATCTCCTTGCTTACTATGACCTACCTGTACTGCTCGCAAACAAAGCTTTTCAGTGTATTCCAGTACACATGACTATACTAAATCAAATCAAATTCAGGCAGTTTTCAAGAGATTATTTCAGATCTCTCTATACCTTATTCCTCCCCATCTCTATTTTCTTTTGGCTCTACACAACTTGAAATAAGATATCTGTGCTTCTCCAATTCTGGCATCCCAATTTGAATCAACCATTCAATTAGCAACCACATCTTCAGGTACCCATGCCCCAAAGCGCTATCCTTCATCACACTCCAGGCTAGTTTCCCACGTTTTACACTTTGAAAATGTTTGCTCACCTGAAGTTCAGGTGTATGTGTCCTTACTCGGATCAAGCCCAGTTATCACCCTGTTCCTCGTGGACTTTGCCTAAGAGTCAACAATATTTTAATTTTGAAATTTTCACCCTTGGTCTCAAACTCTTTCATGCTCTCCTTAGTTTCCGCCTCTAATCTCCTCCAGCCCAACAACCCACAAAAATGCACTCCTCCAAATGCGGCTTCTTCAGCATCCTTGATTTTAATCACTCCACCATTGCTGGCCGTACATTCAGCTACCAGGGTTACTTACCTCAGGAATACCCACTTACACCCCTGTCTTCGACTAAGGTTTTGACCCTTCGTCTTCACGTGGCTCGATGTCTAATGTTGCTTTATAATGCACAAAGTATCTTAGTATATTTTGATTATGTTAAAAGGAGCTGTATTAACAAACTACTGTCAAAACTAGAAAGAAGCAACGTTTAAAAGCTTCGCAGCATTGTTCACATACCCGCTCACCCAGTTACTGAGACATTCTATATTTATTTCAAAATTACAACGTACTGAGACTAACATTTGGGGGAAGGAATACGTAGTCTGAGTTGGCGTCTGAAATCCCACCTACACTAATTTAAAGCAAAAAGGAATGTCACATTTAGAACTCATTTGGATGGAGGGAAAAAATAACTTTGGGAAACAGTACATAAAAGGCTTAACGAGTGGGACTGTGCACTTCGACTCTGTAACGAGTCGTACTGTTCTGAAATGTGTACAACAGCTCATGGGGCGGTGCCGGGCCCTCTCCTTCTCCCGTCCACAAATCCTGGAAGAGGATGAGGCCTAAAATGGGCGGCGAAGAGTCCAAACAAGCGCTAAGACGGAGAAATAAAAGTGTGGTACGCACACGTTATTTTTTTTTTTAAAAAAAGACAAATCTGTGCCTCTAACCGCAACCGCGGAAATCCTGGCTGAGAAAGAGTGAAGCCCGGCACCAACACCGGGCTCGAGCGGCCATTTAAACTTCGCCGGAGTTCGAAACGGAACTTTCCCAAGGGCCACCACCGACAACTGAAACCGTGAGTTTTCACTGAAATTCCATTATTTCTTAAAAGTTATGTTTGCTTGTTTGTTTGTTTTTGTTAACAAAAGTATTTTCCTTCCGCTCCTCACTTACTTGGTTTAAATCGCTGTTTTCAATCAGTTCTCCAAACAGTTGTTTTTCCCAAAAAAAAGTCGTAATTCCGTTTGTTTCCTTTATTTTGCTGCCGCTTCTTTTCCTCCGGCAAAGACACAATACTTGAAACCTGACTGACTCCCAACCTAGTGAGTCACCGAAACCAAACCAGCCGGGAGGAGGGGGAGGGCGAGAAGCGCTTCCAAGGAAGTGGCCACACGCCCCCTGCGCGGCCCGCACCAGAAGCAAACGTGAAAAGTGCGCGGGAGAGAAAAAAAAATCCCCAAATAAGAATAAAGACACACTAAATTAAATAAACAAAAATGTAATCTGGAAAGCACCGTGCTATGAGCTGAAGGGGAAATTGTGTAGAATTGGCTAATGCCGGTGGGAGGGCAGCAAAAGTTGGAAATGGCCTCAGTGCCACACCCAGAGGGAGCAGCAACAGCAGCAAGTTGTTTGTGTCATGATGTCAGGTGTGTACCCACAGGGTAAGGGAAAAATGTAATGAACGTTTTACAGTAATTCTTAGAATCTTTCTAAAGTCGGTCTCTCGTGCCCTCTTTGAGAGCAGGTGGGAAGTTCAGCGCATAAATTAATCACCACCGCCAATTTCTCCTGTGAAAGTGTTTCATTTTCTTCATGTAAGTCATGTTTGATGGCAGGTTGCTTTATTTCTAAGAAAACATTTTAAAGACCAAATAAAAGGAAAGTACTGAGAATGCTGTAAATCTGTTCTAAAGAAGAGCCATGTCTTCATAAGGCTGCTTCTGTTTTCACGGATGCTGCCAAACTTGCTGAGTTTCTCCAGCACGTTCTGTGTACCGAAAGCGGCCGAAGCAAACTGGTCTGCTGATTTCGACAGCACCTCCTAACTCGCCTAAGGGGTCACGCACATACCCCAAGATCACTACTCCCTGCAAGTTCCCCACCAAGTCTCATGCTATCAGTGCTTGGATATATATTTGCAATTCTTTCAGTATCCCTTGGTCAAAGCATGCATTAATGACTATCACCCAGTGGCTCTGACCTTCATAATCGTGGAGTGCTTTGAGAGGCTGGTCATGGCCCACATGAACTCTAGTTTCCCAGCCTGCCTTGATCCTTTGCAATTTGCCTACCAACATAACAGGTTCACAACAGATGCCATTTCCCTAGCCCTGCACTCATTCCTGGAACATCTGGACAACAAGGACACTTATGTTAGACTCCTGCTCACTGACTACAGTCCGCCTTCAACACCATTATCCCCTCCAAACTGATCTCAAAACACTGAGACCTAGGTGAATAAAGGCAACTGCAGAAGCATGAGGAAAGGGCTGGGCAGAGTTGATTGGGAGAGGAGCTGAGCAGGAAAGACAGTGGAACAGCAAGGCAGGAATTTCTAGGAGTAATTCAGGATACAGCAAAAATTCATCCCTTAAAAAAGAGAAGCATGGTATAGGGAGGGTGAGGCAACAAAGGCTGTCTAGGGAAGTCAGGGATAGCATAAAAGCAAAAGAGAAAGCATATCATGTGGTGAGGGGAAGTGGAAAACCAAAGGATTAGGAAGCCTACAAAGACCAACAGAAGGTTAACAAAAAAAGGAGGGAGAAGATTAAATATGAAGGTAAGCTAGCCAGTAATATAAGGAGGACTGTAAGAGTTTCTTTAGATATTATAAAAGGCAAAAGAGGCAAAATTAGAAATTGAACCACTGGAAAATGACGCTGGAGAGATAGTAGTGGGGAACAAGGCTCAGGAACTGAATAATTACTTTGTGTCAGTCTGCATAGTGGAAGACACGAGTAATATCCCAAAAATTCAGGAGTGTCAGTGGGCAGAGCTGAGTATGGTGGCCGTCACCAAGGAGAAGGTGCTAGAAAAACTGAATGGCCTGTAGGTGGATAAACCAACTGGACCAGATGGACTACATCAGAGGTCTTAGGGTGACAGTTGAAGAGATAGTGGAGGCATTCGTGGTGATCTTTCAGGAATCACAAGAGTCAGGAGGGTCCCAGATGACTGGAAAATCACTAACGTGACACCCAGTTTAAAAAGGGACTAAGGCAAAAAACTGAAATTTACAGGCTGATTTGCCTAACCTCAGTTGAGGGTAAGATTTTAGAGTCCATTGTGAAGGATGAGATTTCTAAATAAAAACCAAAAGAACTGCGGATGCTGTAAATCAGGAACAAAAACAAAGTTGCTGGAAAAGCTCAGCAGGTCTGGCAGCATCTGTGAAGGAGAAAACAGAGTTAACATTTCGAGTCCGGTGATCCTTCCTCAGAACTGATGGTGGCTGGGAAAACGGCAGTTTATATGCAGAAAGTAGGGAGTAAACGATACGATAGGGCCCAAAGAGAGAGAAAGACAGTTGGACAGACAAAGGAGTTGCTAACGATCAGACTGGGAGGGTGAATAGTTGTTAATGGGGACTGTTAGTGACGAACAACAGGGGGTGTGTAATGACAGGCTATGTGGTAACAAGGCCTGGTGTGTGGGGTGGGGGGCTGGGATATGGGAGAGTTTAGGCCCTAAAATTATTGAACTCAATATTGAGTCTGGAGGGCTATAGGGTCCCCAAGCGGAAAATGAGGTGTTGTTCCTCCAGCTTGCGTTGGGCTTCACTGGAACACTGAGGCAAGCCAGAGACAGAGATGTTGGCCAGGGAGCAGGGTGGTGCGTTGAAGTGGCAGGCAACAGGTAGTTCAGGGTCTTTTTTGCGAGCAGAACGTAGATGTTCTGCGAAGCAGTCGCCAAGTCTACGCTTCGTTTTCCCAATGTAGAGGAGACCACATTGTGAGTAGCGAATGCAGTAAACTAGATTCTGGGAAGTGCAGGTGAAGTGTTGCTTCACCTGGAAGGTATTTTCGGGCCCTTGAATACTGGGGAGGGAGGAGGTAAATGGGCAGGTGTTGCACCTTCGCCGGTTACAGGGGAAGGTGCCGTAGGGCTGTGGGGAGGTGTTGGGGGTTTTATTCCTTTCTAAGTGTAACATAATAAACTTTAAGATAATCATACAGAATAGAACGAAGGCAATTTGTCCTCATGTGGAAAGTTGTAGGTTGCTGCCAACAAAACAGACAACAACAGGAGGACACTGTACGACCTAACACACTGACCACACTGCCCTACATCAAGAACATTTTGGAACTGACAACAAGACTCCTAAGACCACTCAGAATCATGGTGGCCCACAAGCCCACAGCCACTGTATGACAAACACTTACAAGGATTAAAGACCGCATTCCCACAACATGCAAAACGAATGTGGTTTACAAAAATACCATGCAACGGCTGCCACAAATATTACATCGGACGGACAGGAAGGAAGCTAGCCATCAGAATACACGAACATCAGCTAACAGCAAAACAGCATGATGGACTCTCCCTAATAATTGTACATTCAGACAATGAAGGTCATCAGTTTAACTGGGATAAAGTAACCATAGTAGCCCAAGCCAAACATAGACACATACAGGAATTCCTAGAGGCATGGTGCTCCACCCATACTTCAATCAACAAACGTATAGAATTGGACCCCATATATAGACCCATACACATCAAAACCGGAAATGACAGTACTCACCACAATGGACCGGACGGTATAAATTCCAAGCAGAGTAGAATGACATCGCTTCATCGGAGGCTCCACTGATGATGTCACCTAGCATGGTGACGAAAAGTCTGAACAAAAACAAGCCAGCTCGGCGAGCAAGTCAACAACTTCAAAGAAGTAATGTGTTTTACATTATTTTGCTGAAATTACCCATTTCTCATGGTAGAGTTTCTTGCTTAATGTTTCACTGTTCTTAGTGCCAGAAACCTGGTAAACCCAAAGATCACAATAATATTATCATTGTGGTATTTCTCAACCACCATAATGTGTACTTAATGAGAGCTAAATGCATTCTGCTGTTCAACTGTTAGTTTCAAAAGTGTTGTGAGCAACCAAATCAGCATGAGCTTACGAATATCTTTTAAACGATTGATGTGGAAGAATTTTTTTTTTTTTAAATGACTCCTCAGATACTGAAGCAGTCCGTGTTCAAATATAACAAGATGTGGACAAAATCCAGGTTTGGGCTGACAAGTCGCAAGTGACATACCCGCCACACAAATGCCTGGCTATGACCATCACCAATAAGAGACAACCTAACCACTACCCCTTGACATTCAACAGTGTTACCATCACTGAATCGCCCACATCCTGGGGGTTATCATTGACCAGAAACTCAACTGGACTCACCACATAAACACAATGGCTACAAGAGCAGATCAGAAGCTAGGAATACTGCGGTGTGTAACTCACCTCCTGACTTGTCAATGTCTGTCCACCATCTACAAAGCACAAGTCAGGAGTGTGATGGAACACTCCCCACTTGCCTGGATGAGTGTAGCCCCAACAACACTCAAGAAGCTTGACACCATCCAGGACAAAGCAGCCCGCTTGATTGGCACTACATCCACAAGCATCCACTCCCTCCACTATCTACAAGATGTACCACAGCAATTCACCAAAGATCCTCAGACAGCACCTTCCAAACCCAAGACCACTTCCATCTAGAAGACAAGGGCAGCAGACATATGGGAACAGCACTGCCTCCAAGTTCACCTCCAAACTACTCTCCATCCTTACTTGGAAATATATTGCTGTTCCTTCACTGTCGCTAGGTCAAAATCCTGGAATTCCCTTCCAAATTACCCATTGTGGGTCAACCTACAGCTGTTGGACTGCTGCGGCTCAAGAAGCCAGCTCACCACCACCTTCTCAAGGACAACTAGGAATGGGCAAGAAATGCTGGCCAGCCAGCAACGCCCACATCCCACAAATGAATTTTAAAAAAGAAATTTTTTTGAAGACTCCAATTAGCTGCCACAAGTCTTACTCCTAACATCACTCTATACTAGTAAACAGTCATGGCTAGTTCAGTGTACAGGTTATTATAACTGTTTCTCACAGAATTGTGGACATCTTAAAAATTTATTAATCTCTGGTTGTTTCTCGCAAGTTATTCTACAAACAAATTTAAGTAAATTTAATTTAATTATTTAAACTAACAGGTGAAATGTTAGGATCCACAGTGAAGCCAGTTTCAAGACATACTAGCTGCACAGTACAAAACTAAATGCAGTAGAATGAATGAGCTCACTCACTTTCTGAGAATCCGGGATTTATTGTAAATGTTGTTCAGGAAAATTAATAGCAAAGGCCATTAGCATTACATGAAAGGTGAAAAAAAAAGGCAAG